TTACTATTTTTAAAAATTTCAGAAATTATATAAACACCCACTATTTTTTTGGGTGGGTGGGTGGAGGTTATTCTTCTAAATGGTCATGTACATGTACCATATACCATATATATAAATTCTTGACCTTTTTTTTTCCATTTCGGGGCACGAAAATCTTCCCAAAAAAGAGTATTGTTGGCAAGTGATTGAACTTAAGAACTTACCAATGTTCACCAATTGGGTGAGGGTAAAATCTATACTATGATAATATTCATATTAAAAAATTAAAAAGTTTTACTTTTGAAAAAATAACTTTGAGCTGAGCAAGTAAATAATTGATTATATCAACTGTGCATCATTTAAGTGGATTTATGCCAAACAAAATTATTTGGAATTTGCATGTCCAACTTAATAAATGAAAAGTTAAATTAAAAATGTCAAAAAAAAAAAAATAATTTAATGACTAAAGCTTATTATTAAATAATACTACATTAAAAATACATTTTACTTTAAATCCTTTCTTGGTAAAATTTTGAAACCTCATATTCTTCAACTGAAAACAAAGCTTCTTTAGGAATATTTAAGGCGAACGTAACACATTTACTAATAAATTTATCAGAACGAATTGGATTAGAATAAACTTTACTAACCATGCAAGAACATCTTTTTCCAATTTTTAGATTACCTCTTAACGTAAAGCATTGCTAAAAGATAATTGTGAATCCTACGGGTAATTATGAATGACATAATAAAAATTCCTCACAACCCTACTTAAAATAGAATTTTTCAGATTTACAGTTTTCAATGAAAATATAAAACTATCTTGCGTATTTTTCGATCGATTTTTATCTTTATCCCACTCAAGAGGATTATACCCTCCCAGAATTTCTCCAGTACCTTCAACTTTTAAAATAATAACTGTTTTAGGTACTTAATCACAAATATTATAAATAGTTTTAACATTAAATTCTTCTCTAGATCATCTAACAAGTAATTCAAAGTCATATGGATAACCTTCAATATAGGGTGATTTTTTTTTATTAATCCAGGATGAAATTTCTAGTGCATGATCATTGGTGATGATATTCGAAAGCATAGGAATTTGGATATTTCTAATTGTAAGTTTTGTATCGAGGAGACACGAAAATGGCCAGAGTCACGGGGATAATAAAGGATGATGGGTGTCACTATTTGGATGAATTATCCTTGTGTTTCGTCTGTCATCCAAGATAACTGTTTATTCATCCTGGTACAAAAACGTTTTTCTGGATGACAGAGGATGAAGGTAAACAAAAGGAAAATTATAAAATAGCTGCGGTCACGAAGAAAGAAGGAAGATTCCTCCTCTGGCGAAAACTTTTAATCCATTAAATATTTTATCCCAATAAACAATTTCTTAATAATTTTAATAATTACAAATAATTTTGATCTAAATAATTTTAATTTTCTTTTAGTTCATAATAAATAGTTTCTCAAATAATTTTATTAATACAAATAGCTTCGAAATAACATAAATAACTTTTGTAATAAACTTTAATTTCTAATAATAATAATAAATAATTTCGAATAGCAATAGAGATACGGCACGCCAACGCAGTGATATATCTCTATTGTTATATTTTTGTAATAAATCTTCATAACTCTCTTAATAAACTGTTTTATACTTCTTGGAAAGTTACTCCAAAAAGTTTGTTAAATTTCGGTAGTGTACAAAGCAGATAGTAAAGATACTTTTACTCCACTTGCTCACTGTTCCTTCAGATATTACACGTAATTACATTGTTCGTGAGTGTTAGTAAGCAGTTTTAGATCGACTGATTGCCTGAGCTTACTGTGTATCGGAATATTGCGCCAAGAGAAAGTGTGTTAGTAGTATATTGAATTATTGTGTGATTATCCTAAATTTATTGAGACTGATTTGCGTAACTTTCCGCACTGTTCTGCGCAGACCGCGACAGTATTTAAGATTTTTCGAGGTAACACAATCGAAGAGATTTGTTTGTTGGGGTCATGATTTTAGAATTGATGTCTAGAAAAAGTTTAGTTTCAAGTATTTGATGATATGGAAAAATCTTTTCTACCACATCTTCGTTGGAAAAACTGAAATATCTAATGTGTGGGAGATATCCTTTCAAAGTTTCTTTTAATGTTAAGAAATTATCGCTTGTCCATTTATCGAGATTAGTTGGTAAAGTAGAATTTTTTGCTTCTCCCCATTTAATTACATATTCCCAAATGTTGCCTTCTTCTAATTGTAGGTCATCCTGTTTAAGACTAGAAATTAATATGTCTTCGGAGAGAGAATGAAAATTTTCAGATTCAAAAAAGTATTAGGATGTTTAACAATAATATCGTCACAGAAGTCTCGAATAATTTCAAGATTTTTGACTTGAAAACATGTTTGATAAATTTGAGCAAATTTTATTCTTAACCAGGAAGCACGGTTGGTGACAAGATGAATTGGATGAATTGATAGAACATCTCCAAGCTTAAGTTCATTAGATAATATTACTAGGTCAAAAATAGTAGAATTTTCTATTTTTTCTAACGAAATTATTCCACCTTAAATATATCTAAATTATATAAAAAAAAAGTATTATTATTATTAAAAAAGTACCAAAAAATTATAATAAATTTAAGAGATTATGCTTACTTGATAATGATATTGAGCATTTTAATAGAAATATTAGTTTTAGGCATCGTTAATACTGTACTTTGTTATGGTCATCATTGAAAGGAATTTCGTTATATTTTACAATCCCATAGTCTTTACTTTAAAAATAAATTTAATAATGAACTTTAAAAATTTGATTATTAGGAGCTTCATCAATTTCTATTATGACATTATAATCAATAGGTTCTTCAAGAAGTTGAGTAAGGTCATTTGATAAACGGTCCAAAAAATTAGTGGTCATTTTTTTTTCGTAATTAATAAATCTGAAAATCGGTTAAATAGTTTTTTTTTGGTAAGCTAATTAACACAAAAACAGGTGACCATAACTTATGTGAAAACTTTCTAGTTAAGGTGGTCCTAGTTCTTCAAAGAGACGAGCAAACCTGAAAAGGAAAAAGAAACCTGGTTTGTATATTTTTATTTTATTTCGTGATCTGTTAAAATCAATGCATTATTATTTTTTAAGATATTTAATCAAGATAATAAAAAATAAATAATATTTTGTTTAATTTCATATCTTTTAAGATTTCCAAATTTTGATCTTTTAAAAATATCGTAATTAATTAGATAGTTAATATACCATGAGAACTTTTTTAATTAATTGTTGGACCACCACCGTCAAACCAGCTATAAGGAAAACTCGAATTTACATAAAAAAGCTACTCAATGATAATAATAATGATACACATAATTTGTTTCATCTTCCATAAGAAGGATGATCGGAAAGATTACAAGATGGGATTACATTAAAATTATTTAAAAGATTAAATAATAATCATAAACCATTAACAAAAGTTTATAAATCCTAAAATTTAAGAAACGATGGATTACAATTGAATCATTAGACAAAAGTTTCTTCTGATGAGAAATTAGGTAAAAAATAATTTAATTTAATAAAAAAAATATATTTTCTCTAATTCATATATATTTATAATTTATTACTTTTGATATTTATCGCGACATTTGTGACATTTTCGCAATTATATGGTTATTTATTTGTATTTGTAAAAGTAAAGATCATGTCTCGATAATATACAAATTTAAATTTCACGATAATAAAAATATTTCTAATTTTATTAAAAAATAAAAAAAAAATAAACAATTAATTCAAATAAATTAAAAGTGAAATTATTTGATTTAATCCAATTGAAGAAAATTTTTCGTGAAATTTGTTCGTACGTGCACTTTTATTTATTTGTTTGCACATATGATCATTATCATAACGTAAAGAAAATATCTGGACTTTTCAAAAAGGGGATGAGCGATATTTTCTAAAGTCATAATAAAGAAAGAGAGAGAAAAGACCTTTTAATAGAAATAATATTAAGGTTTGTTAATAATTTTATTAATTTATTTTTAAGTTTCTTTGAATATTTATTTCTATTATTTTTATTATTATCAGGTTTCGCATTGTTATTTATCAGACCTTCGTAAATGATTGATTTAACAACATCAGCAGTGTTAGCAGCAGTAACGATGATGATGATACTGCCATTTTGATGATCACTATTTTAATATATCAAAAGAATTAGATATGTTCGTTGCTACGATAATCATTTTTCTGATGATGATGATGATATAACTTCTTAAAGTATTATCAAAATGGCTTAATTCTCGATTTGTTAAAGTTTTAACAAAAGTGTAAGAAGTATTAATAGGAGCCGTGATAGTTCCCCTATCTCTACAGCATCCAATGATGCAAGATGATCAATAAGAAAAGCGAATATTTTATATTTTATTAATTCTTTGATGTGATCGACGACATAAAGTTTCGTTCATCAAACAATCACCCATCGCCTCATAAGATAAAATCAAATGAAGCTTTTTTCCTTTCTTCATTATTAAGATAACCTTTCATAAAATTTCCTCGAACTCATAGTTTTCCAGATATAATTATGCAAATAAATAAAAAGAAATGAATAATATTAAATAATAAAATAAAATAATTAATTCGTGATCTGTGTAACCGTAGAAAATGACGGTCTTTTTATCATTTTGGGAATAAGACAATTTTCAAAGCTTCATCTATATCTGGATTATGTAAAGTTTATGAGAGGGGAATAGATTTCACATTTTCGATGTGTAGTACCCAATTGCTACATGTAATGAAAATTTGTTAGTTTTTCCGTATTGAGTTTATCTTTTTAAACGCTTGTGATATGATAGAGAATTTTATTGTGGAATAATTGAAGTTGATTAGACATTGATGTTCATTTTTTTTACTGTTCTATATAACCCTCCTTTATTTTATAAAATAAGTACATTGCTAAAATCGCATATAATTAAAATTAAAAATTAAAAAATAAATAATAAAACATAAAAGATAATTATTAGAAAAAAATTTACTTTATGCTAAACCACTTAAAGTATTTCTTAAATTTTCCTTATCTTCAGGGGTTAAAATACAACATGAAATATAATAACTTTTACAACAGAATAATTTAAGTTTGACATCCTTTTCAAAACTAAGTATTTGTAAGTTTTTTTTAAAAGATACAAGCCCAAAAATGCAAGAAAAAATAAATATAAATGTCGAAGGATACCAATAATTAATGTGACTGGGATTTAACAAAATTTGATGCATGATAAAACAATGGATTATCCCATAAATTCCAATGGTTATAATAGAAATTTCCAATTTTAAGCTGGCATTATCATCTTCACCATGATAATAATAATTCTCGCATTCTTTAAAATCCGGCTTGACTTTTTCTTCACATTGTAATATTGTATTAGAGCATTCGATCACTTCTCCTTTTTTAGCACAATCATTATCCTTTAAGGCAACGCAAGTTTCATCTCTATATCTATTAAAGGGTTTCTTATAAAGGGGTCTATTATCTAAATCACAAGAAGCTGCAATCGTAGACTCACAATCTATAAAAGAATTGCATTTTATTGCCTTTAATATGATAGAAAAGTCGAAAAAAACAAGAAACATCAAAGCAAAAGAAAAAATTAAAACGATCATAAAATGTATGGTGCCCGCATGTCGTAATTTCTTAGTCCGCTTAATAATTTCTTCGCTAATATTATCCAAATGCTCTCCGCCTCTTTTTTTGTTAATACTACAAATGGCAGAATCAAGAACATTCGGCAAAAGACCAATTTTGTCTTGTTCTGTAGATGTGGTTAATCTCATGTCAAAAAAAATCGCCCTTATGCCCAAAAAAACTGATGCAATGCTAGTAGCCCCTGTTATACTGCTCTTTATAATTTCGGAGGTTTGAGAAATAGCGTTACCGTCAGGAGCGGTGAGAAGAAAAATAACCCAGACAAGGGCACCAATAAAAGGTAAAAAACTTAGAAATGAATATTTCTTAATTACTCTTGCTAATGAATTATTTTGAGTGGAAACTTCTTGTATAATATTTAACTTCAAAACTCTCTCGTTTTTTTCTTCTTGCGAAAATATATTTTTATCTGGAATAGTGTTTGAATTAGTGTTTGGATTAGTGTTTTTTTCTTCTTCGATATCTGACATTGTGTATGTAATAGTATTTATTTGTTTTTCTAAAGACAACGCGTTCATTAGATAGTCGTATTTATATATGATATTGTCCGTTATACAAACAAAAAAATTCAATTATCTATATCGTACGAAATTTAGTATAGTACGATGGGATTTACAGTAGCACGATATCGAAATTTTCGGAAGTTTCAGAAATTAGTATGGGATTTACGGTCATTTTGATTAAATAAAATATATTGTAAAACACCTTAGTAAATCAAAAAGAATAATTAGAAATCTTCAATGAATTAATCAATAATTAGTTAGAATTACCATAAAATTTGTGCTTCGATGCAATGTTTATTACAATGATTAAGAAATAATTTGTCATGAATATAAATATTCATTCAAATTTTTTAATTATTTTTATATTAATATAACTGATAGTATTCTTAATGAAAATTAATGAAAATTCAATTTAAATTTCTGAAACAATTTAATATGGTGCAATAAATTATTTTTTTTATACTACTTAATTTAGCTTCTTTCTTTTATTTCCTCTTCCCTTTAAATCTAATGAAAATATGAGACTTCAGAAAATTATTATTATTTAATTTATAATTAATAAAATGTAAATAATCTAAAATTAGTTTCCAAATTGAATTTAACTTTTACTATCTTAATGCAAATTGTATTTATATTTATTGTATTTTATCAAACTATTTTTGGATTGCAACAAATTACTATTACAAGTAAAAAAAAAAGTGAATACTGAAAATAGATAATCCTTTCATGAATAAAACAAAATACAAACAGTGATGGCCCTAAGTGACCAGCACGTCATGCAATCATTTATAAAATATTGACTCTATAAAAGTTTGTAAATAAAAAAAAATAAAATAACGGAAGAAACAAGGATTTATTAAATAAAGCAAAATAATACAAAATAAAATAAAATAAAATAAAATAAAATGAATTAAAATAGCGGGAACCCAAATAATTTAAGAATAATAATAATCATCCTTCAGTTTGTTTGCCTTGTCAATAAACGACAACGATTATACATTTGCATCAAATTTTACATTGAAATAAAGTTTATTAAGGAATAAAAAGAAACTACTAATCTACGATTATAATGATGATGTTAATTTATTTATTTAATTATCTATCTATCTGTTGTGATTGGTTTATTTATTTTAATTTTAATTTTATAATAAATAATTGAGGAAATAATAATAATAATTGAATAGAAAAATTTTTTTTAAAAAAACAAATTCAATTGAATTATCTTCTTTCCGATTTTTTTTTTTTTTTTTTTTAGTTTTCTTTGAAGCATAATTATAATTCCTATTGAATTTTTGACTTTAGATTTTAGTCATTTAAGTTTATATTGAATATTTGATGCTGTATTGTTATTTCTTCTAATGTCTTTTATTCCTGTTATCTTTAACTATTTTTACCAATTATCACAATCAGTTAAAATTTTGTGATATCGCAGAAGTAAATTCTTGCTTGTTATATTTTATTTTTTTACCGAGCCAAAAGCTTTTTTTAATAGATTGAAATAAGAGCCAACTTTTATATAAATATTTTATCTTAATTAATTTATTCATACTAAACAAAGAAGAATTAATATTAAATTCTGTTTAGCAAAATATTATTTTTTAGTTTTTGGAATTGAAAAATTACCATATTAATTTTTTTAAAAAAAAAATTAAATCAAATGTTCACTTCGTCAATAAATGATTGGATAATTTAATCATATTTGTATTTGTGAAAAATGACTACACAGTACAGTTTTATGACCGTTTATCAATCGACCTTATTCAACTTGTTGAAAGTGGTGTTAATTGTGATGTCTCAATTGAAGTTGGTGAAGAAGAAGTCCCTCTTGTCAATATTATATGGCTCATTTAATTTTTTTTTTTTGCAATCCCGTAGTCCTTACTTTAAAAAGAAATTCGACGAAATTACTTTCATAGTACCAATATACTAAAATAATATAATATTCAATTCTTGAATCACTTTCTTCTATATAAGAACTATTTTCTCGTTTTAATGATTAATTAATTGAATTGACCATTACCATTTACAAATTATCAAATCGTAGATAACAATTAATGAGTAATTAAGGAACACTATTAAATAAATTCTCTCTCGTGAAACGAGCGCAGATCATACAAGTAAAATGCACACACCTTCAGTATCATAGAAACTTTGTTTTAGTTCTTTAATTATTATCTTTATTATATCTTCGATGCAGTCTTTAATACTCACACCAAAATAAAAGAAAAGAAAATATTAATATTATCCCACGTTTCGCTCATGATTATTTTCATAGACTATAAAATTCTATGGGAATATCTTTCTATTAACAAACAATAATAAATTATCTGTTCAAAAATAAATGATAATTCCGCATTTATTGTTTCTCTTTTTAATCATTAAAATTACTATCTTCCGGAAGAAGACTTATTAAAATCATCTAAACTTGAACCATTATTAACAAGATTTTTTTTTTTCGAGAAAATGTGGATGTAATGTTTGTTGTATATCTGATTACTCTTATGATCTGCTAGAAGATGTGTAATTATTCAATTGTTATAATTGCTATAAATAGAATTTCTATAGTAAAATGTCATATCATCAATTTAGAAATTTCCTACTACTATTTAGTAAATCGCCTTTAAAAGGGGGGTTTCAGATTCCGTGATACCATTTTTATTTTTATTGGTCCTATCGGTTATGATTAACCTCTTTTCGAGTAGTAAAGGTAACAGGTGATCTCTTACGACCGATCAAAGCCTCTGGAGAAGCTTTGGCAATTCTTCGCATAGTAAAGTTTTTCCAGATCAAAGGATTTACGGAGGATGTAACATTGTGTGTTACTTGGAAAAGATAACAGGTGATCTCCTGTGACTGAGTAGAGAAAGATTTGGATTTTTCCAGTAACATTGTGAAAATTTGGTTTTTTATTTTTAACATTTGTGAGAAAAAAAAATTCTTTGAGTGATTAATTAAAACTATTCAGAAGGCGTGAAAGTACTTGAATACTGTATTTGTTTTTGCTAAGCTGGCTTACGGATTGAAAGATTATTTTTTCTTTAATTACAAATACTCACGAATTTTTTTACACTTCCATTTTACATCCAGAATTTGAGACGTAATTTCAACACATTGGACAAAGTAAACTGCCTTTGAGCGACTAATTAAAACTGTTAAAAAGTTATAAAAGTACTTAAATATTTATTTTCGCTAAGCTGGCTTACAAACGGAATTTTCTTTAATTATAAATACTCACGAAATTTTATATTTACAGAATTTTGAGACGTAATTTCAAACACATTGGACAAAGTAAACTGCCTTTGAACGACTAATTAAAACTGTTCAAAAGGTATGAAAGTAATTGAACATTTGTTTTCACTAGGCTGGCTTACGAACGGAATGAAATACGAATTTTGAGCGACTAATTAAAACTGTTCAGAAGGTATGAAAGTACTTGAATATTTGTTTTCATTAGGCTGGCTTACGACGGATTGAAATACGAATTTTTCTTTAATTACAAATACTCACGAATTTTTTTACAGTAGAATTAGTTTAATAAATACGGTAAAATAATATGATATATGATGAATAAATTAAAAATAACAAATAAATAAGTTTCAATATTTTATAATTGTTTTGAATTAGAAAACCTGTTTTTTATTTTTATTTTTCATTTGTGTACAAATTATGTTATATGAATCATTTGATTTTTTTTTTCTACAAGTAAAAAAAAAATAATAAAAATAAAATGAAAAACAGTACCATTATTAATTATTATTTTAATATTCTCTCGTATTTATTAAACTCATTGCGGTTACGCACTCAATAAATGTCATAACAACTACAACTGAATGTGCAAAATTTGAAACAGACACCCTCTAACACAAAATCAAATAGCAACAAATCTAAAACGTAAAAAATAAACAGATAGATTCATGTGTAAATATGATAAAAACAATGAAAATAGTAAAGAAAAAGAAGAAAAAAAAGAAAAAATAAATAAAAAAAAATCCCACGACACTAGTAATAATCTTATAGGTCAAGACTTAGATAGTTACATTAAATGCACATTTCAATGCATAAATTTGTGTTCCCAATAAATGATGGATAATTTAATTATGATCTAGATGCACAAAAAATGAAATTGCTTTTTTTTTTGTATTTTGAACTTATTCTTATTTAAGAAAAGATGACTACCCAATTTTATGACCGCCTATCAAATGACCTTACTCAACTTCTTGAAAATGGTGTTAATTATGATGTCTCAATTGAAGTTGGTGAAGAAGAAGTCTCTCTTGTCAATATTTATAAGGTTCATTCAATTATTTTGCAATCCCGTAGTCCTTACTTTAAAAAGAAATTCGACGAAATTACTTTCAATGAAAATTTTATTAAAGTATTAAAGTTACCAAATATTTCTGTTAAAGTATTTAATGTTATTATCAAGTAAGTTCAAATATCATTTTTAGAAAATAATAATGATAAATTTGTTCAAATTATTTTAATTAACATTTTATAAAAAACAATAAATTTCATATTTTTTTAGATATATTTATAGTGGTAATATTTTATTGGAAAATTTGGAAAATTCGATCATTTTTGACCTTTTAATCGCTTCTAATGATTTTGAATTGGATGAACTAGTTAAACATCTCCAAATTAATTTTGTCGATAATAATGCTTCATGGTTAAGACTGAACTTTGCTCAAGTTTATCGAAAAAGTTATCAAGTCAAAAGTTTTAAAATTATTCGAGACTTTTGTGACGAGATCATTGCCAAACATCCAAATACTCTTTTCGAATCTGAAAATTTTCATTCTCTCCCAGAAGATATGCTAATCTCTATTCTTAAGAGAAACGATTTACAATTAGAAGAGAATAAAATTTGGGAATATTTAATTGAATGGGGAAAAGCAAAAAATCCCACGTTACCTTCTAATGTCGATGAATGGACAAGTGTCAATTTCTCATCCTTGAAAGAAACTTTGAATCAATGTCTTCAACACATTAGGTATTTTAGCATTTCCGGGGAAGATGTAGTTAAAAAGATTTATCCATATCAACAACTTCTTGAACGCCAACTTTTTTTAGATATTAATTCAAGACTTATAGCATCTAACTTGCCAATTTCTTCAATTGTGTTACCACCTCGAAAGATTTTAAATACAACACTTCCAACTAGAATTACTTCAATTCATTTATCTTCTAATATTATCACCGATGAACATGCACTAGAAATTTCATCATGGATTGATAAAAACAAAACCCCTTATATTGAAAATAATCCATATGAATTTAAATTACTTGCCAGAGGATCTAGAGATGGGTTTGATGTTAATACTATTTATAATATTTGTGATGAAGTATCCAAAACAATTATTATTTTGAAAGTTAAAGGTACTGGAGAAATTCTTGGAGGGTATAATCCTCTCGAGTGGAATAAAAATAAAAACCAATGGAAGAAGACCGAAGATAGTTTTATATTTTCTTTGAAAACTTTAAATCTGAAAAATTCCATTTTAAGTAGGGTTTTGGATTATACATCTGCCATTTATAATAATCCACGGAATTTACAGTTAAATTTTGGCTTTGCGTTATGTTTGAGAAACAATTTGAAAACTGAGAGGGGATGTTGTTGTGAGAAAAGTACAGGATATCCTAAACCAATCCGTTCTGATGAATTTATTTCAATGGCTTGGCCGCCTTCTGATAACTCTTTATTTTCAGTTGAAGAATATGAGGTTTTTAAAGTTTCACCAAGAAAATAATTTTAAAATGCCAATTTATTTTCAATTATTCTTAATTATTTTTTCAGTTTACATATTTATATAAATTTTAATATAAAAATATTCTTTCTTTTTGTTTAAATATTCTTTGATAAGAATATAATTATAAATACACTCGTTAATAAGTTCATTATTCTTAAATCCATTAAATCAAGCTCATTCTGAACTTTTCTATTATCTTTCTTAATCAGTTTGATTAACAATATTATTTTTAATATCGGATATTTTAATCATCATTGAGTAGCTGGAGATAATCATTTTCTTTTCAAAGACGACCATTTTTTTTTATATTTATTTTTACATAATTCATTTCATTTTCTCAAATAATTCTAATAGTCAAAAAAAAACAAAAATTAATTGGCAAAAAAAATTGCATATAAAGTACGGTGAGCATTTCAATGTACAACGTATATATATTGTTCACTAAAGTCGTGTAAATTTATTATTATCATCAATAGGAAAACCGTCCTGTCATTTTTAATACAAAATATAGATGGCCACCATATCATGTAAAATTTATGAATAAAAAAGTCGAGTTTTTGTTAATTTTTGTTATATCATTTTATTTGGAATTTTCATTAACAACATATTTAGTTAATTTAAAATAAAAGTTGAAATTCTTTTCGGGCAGGCAATATTCAGAAAATTTATGTCTAAACAAAATTCTTGATTTTGCCAGATAGAATTTTTGTAAATGAAATTTCATCGATTTAATTATTTTATTTTATCATTAATCTGATACAATTGCACTAAATTAACAGATATGCATTTAGACAACTTAACATGAATTTCTATTTGAATAGTAATATGAAATCGTATTATGTTTAATTTATCGACTCAAGGTGAAAGTTTTTTTTATAAATATTATTTCATATTTACATAAAAAGATTAATTCATATTATTTGGATTATTTCGATTCATATATTATTAGTACGTTTCATAGCTGAAGCTGTAACATGCGGCGACCTTAATGAAAATATTACAGATGATTTTAAAGGAGAAATTTTAGATACTGCAAACACTATGTGGATGGGATACTTTGAATTGAAAATATGAAATTATAATTAAAGAAATAAATTATATAAATAAAATTAATTTTTTTTGTTGCTACCTTTTCTGTTGAAGTAAGAACTGAAGAAAAACGCAGGTAAAGGATGGGATGTTAACGTGAATACAATTTAACTTCACAAGGTAAAAATTTACAAATGATTTATCGTTGGATAATATCCGATATACAGAACAATATATATTATTCAATTTCAGACAGCGGTCGATGCACCGAAAGATTAATTAATCGAATGAAGTACAATCTTACAAAAGAAATACTGCTACAAGCGAAGTAAGCGATTTTTTTTTTTGCAAAATGTACGCGATGTAAAAAATAAATCTAATTAAAAGAAAATTACCTTATCAAATTTCAGAAAGAATGAATTGCTTGTTAAATATAAATAAAATAATTTATTTGTTAATGAATAAACTAAGATTACACAACAAAATAATTTCGTTTAATAAAAATACAAACAAAATGATACTTAATATTGAATAAATAAATAATAAATAATAAATAATATTAAATTTATAATTAAATGGCTTCATCATTGTCAATGAATGGACAAGAGATAATTTCTTAACTTTAAAGCTTTGAAAGAATGCCTCCCAAAAATTAGATATTTCAGTTTTTCCAATGAAGATGTGGTAGAAAAGATTTACCCATATGAACAACTTCTTGGACACCAACTTTTTTCATATATCAATATAAAACTTAGAACACCAACCAATGTGTTACCGCCTCGAAAGATTTTAATCACAAAACCTCCAACCAGAATTACTCCAAATTTTTTATCTTCTAATATTATGACCGATGAAATTGCACTAGAAATTTCATTACGGATTGACAAAAAAGAAATTTTTTATATTGAAAATAAACCATATGAATTTAAATTATTTGTTAGAGGATCTAGAGATGGGTTTGATACTATATTCAATATTTGGATAAAATATCTAAAATTATTATTATTTTGAAAGTTGAAGGTACTGAAGAAATTCTAGGAGTGTATAATCCTCTCGAGTTGGATAAAAATCAATTAATGGCGACCTACAATAGTTTTATGCTTTCATTAAAAAATGAAAATATGAAAAATTCCATTTTAAGTAGGGTGTCGAAAACTGTCCAGCGAATTTGCGTTGTTTTGACTATGCTTTATATTTTAGTAGCAATTAAAAACTGAGAAAGAATGTTATTGTTGCGTAGCAAGTTTAGTGTATCCTAAGGCAATTCGTTCCGTTAGCTCTCCGTTTTCAGTTGAAGAATATGAGTTTTCGAAATTTCACCAAATAAATAACATAAGATTCATCTTATTTATGCAAAATTATGCAATAATAAAAATTGCTTATATCGTATAGCGCTTTTATGGTTGGTTTGTATAACTTTTCAATTAAGTATTCATTATTTTTGTTGCTCTTCGTTAATAAATTTATTATTTTGTTATTCATCAAATTAATTAATAATATATTCATTATTTTTAAAACTTACATTATAAAATTTCATTTATATATAATTTTGCAAAAAACAAAATAAAAAAATCAAATGAAAATGATTATTTGCATTAAATATTTCTAAAAAAGAATTCTTTCAATCTTTTTTATTTTATTGCTTAAATTTTAATTTTTTTCACAAATTAAATTGATAATTACACAAAATTTATTTAAAAACAAAGCCTTCTTTCATATCATTTTAAACAGGACTAATAGTATAAGTATAGTATATTCTTTTTATTTGTATTAGCAGACACAAACAGGAAAATTTTGTACTTATCCAATATAATGGTTCTTATTGTAAAAAAAGACGGATACTCAATTTTACGATCGACCTCTTGAAAGTAGTGCTAATTGTGATGTCTCAATTCAATTTGGCCAATATTTATAAAGTTAAAGTTCATTCAATTATTTTGCAACCTCGTAGTCTTAACTTTAAAAAGAATTTGACGTCAAATTAAAATTGCGAATATGTCATTACATTATTAAGTAAGTTTAAATATTATTTTTAAAATTAAAAATTGCAAATTTTATAATTTCAATAATAAACTTGATTTATTATTAGATAAATTTAAGGTGAAAAATCTTCGTTAGAAAAAATTAGAAAATTCGTTCATTTTTGGCCTTTTAATTGAACTTGAATTGGATGAATTAGTTAAATAAATATTGGTAAAAGAAAGGTCAAAAAAGCATCTTCGATTATTATATAGTCGAACATCCAAATACGTATAGGAAAAATTCCCATATATTGTCTATTATTGGTATTATTTTTATTTTTGGTTATTATTGTTTTATTATTATTATTTTATTATTATTAATTAATAAATTAAATATTTAATAATAACTATTCTATTCATAATATTTAATAATTACAATTATTATTATTTTATTTTGACTCGGGCGAAAGAAATCACTTCTTAGTAATCAACAATTGAAATTACTAAAAATGGAAATTAATAATTCAATTCATTATTTACCAGAAAAATTGACGCACTTTATTTTGGTTGAGGGTAAACTATTATTTATCCCATTATATATATGTTTATATGTAAATATCGAGATATTTTATTTATTATATATATTTTTTTATTTTACCTTCTTTTTTTTATCTTTTTTTTTGTCTTTTTTGTCTTTTTTTTTTTTATCTCAATTATATTATATCATTATTAAGCAAATCTAATTATAAATAATTATTATAAATATTATAAATGTTATAAATAAAATAAAAGTTTCATTACAATTAATATAATTATAATAATAGTTATTAATAATTTACCCATTTGAAGTTCGACGATAGAAATTCCCTCTGGGTGTAGTTGCTTAAAGTTCGAAGATATATTTATCTAAACAAGCTATGGCTGTTAAAGTGACAAGGACATTTCAAGAATTTGGATTGGGTAGGTTAATGATAATAATGATATTTATTATTATCATTATTAACAATATATTATTAACATTATTATTATTATTAACAATATATTATTAACATTATTATTATTATTATCAGTTCACGTCAAACGATTCCAACAACAGAAATAGTTTGTGCTCGTTGGACAGAATTACAAAAGACTATAAAAACATTATTAGAAATAAAAAAGGAGTAGATAAACATATTACTAGTTGTTTCATCGAAGAATGTTATGATTGAGGTTTTGTTTTAATTAAAAATTACTATTAGTCGAAACAACATTTATAATTGCTGAAATTTTCTGAATACTAAATATTCGTAAATGCTTATGTATTATTCTCGAAATAATAACTATTCTTCTAAGAAGGCAAACGAAAAGAAGCCATTGGTAAATTTTTTTTTGTGATCTGTTAAAATTAGTTGTTATGGATCTTCAAGATCTCGAGATCAATGAATTGTTATTACTAAATCTTATTAACTTATTTAAAGAAATTTAATCAAGGAAAGAATAAATACATAATATTGTGCTTACTTTATTCCAATTTTTTTTTTTACCTTTAATTTTTTATTTTCTTACAAAGATTCCGATAAGTAAATAGCAATTATTGAGACAAAATAATAACGCAATTAATTGATTAATATTCGTATTATAATAACTTAATGTGTTGTATTAATATCAATGTAAAAATTAGAAAGAGTCACTTTTGATTTTGAGCAAGTAAATAATTAAAATACTAAACACAATTATTCAAATTTTGCATGTTTGACTTAAAAAATAAAAACAAAATACATTTTATTATTAAATAAGTTAATCAAAAATATCATAAAAAATAATCTAATGTCTAAAGCTTATTACTATCTCAAAAAATGCGTTATACTTTAAATTATTTTTTTGGTAAAATTTCGAAAACCTCACACTCTTCAACTGAAAATAAAGCACTTTTAGAAATATTTCCGAAGTTCGCACGATTACTTATAAACTTATCAGAATCGAATCAGTTTAGGATACTCTAAGTTAACCATGCAAAAACATTTTTCATCAGTTTTCAAATCGAACCTTAAGTGTAAAGCATTGCTAAAATTAAACATAGACTTTGAATGGCATAATTAGTATCCCTTACCGATCTACTTAAAATAGAATTTTTCAAATTTGCGGTTTTCAATGAAATATAAAAAAATCTTGTGTTTTTCTATATTGGTTTTTATCATTATACCATTCAAAAGGATTATACCCTCAGATTTTTTTCGGTACCTTCAACCTTTAAAATAATAACTATATTAACCACCTTATCACAAATATTGAAAATAGTAATAACATCAAATCCATCTCTAGATCCTCTAACAAGTAATTCAAAGTCATATGGGCAATTTTCAATATATAGTGTTTCTTTTTTATCGATCCAAGATGAAATTTCTAATACATATTCATTTGTAATGATAATGGAAGAAAGGAAATGAAGTATTTAAGATTTTCGAGGTGGTAACACAATCGAAGAGATTTGTTTGCTGGGAGTCATTATTTTAGAATTGATTTCTAGAAAAAGTTTAGGTTCTAGAATTTGCTTATATGGAAAAATCTTTTCTATCACATCTTCGTTGGAAAAACTGGAATATCTAATGAGTGGGAGACATCCTTTCAAAGTTTATTTTAAAGTTAAGAAATTATCGCTAGTAGGCAAAGTAGAATTTTTTGTTTTTCCCCATTGAATTACACATTCCCAAATTTTATCTTCTTTTAATTGGAAGTTATCCTGTTTAAGAATAGAAATCAATACGCCTTCGGGGTGAGAATTTTATCATTTTAGAATTGTTGTCTAGAAAAAGTTTAGGTTCAAGAATTTGATAATATGGAAAATCATATCATTGGAAAAATTAAAATATTTAATGTGTGTGAGATATCCTTTAAAAGTTTCTTTAAAGTTAAGAAATTACAACTTGTAGCCAAATAGAATTTTTTTTCTGATTCCCAATATTCACAAATTTTACCTTCTACTAATTCAAAAATTGCAAGTCATCTTACATTAATTCATCTTCAGAAAGTGAATAAAAATTTTCAGATTCAAAAACAGTACAAGGATGTTGTAAAATTCGTATATGATTTCGAGATTTTGAC